CTGATGCCTGGGGTTATTCCTCCCCAGGTGCAGGACCCTGCACTTGTCCTTATTGAACCTCATGAGGTTCCTCTCTGCCCAATTCTCCAGCCTGTCCAGGTCCCTCTGGATTTCCTGCACACAATCTCCCTATACAATACTAAATGATATCTTTCATAGTTATTCTCTACTAAACTGTATTGATTTACAGACTGACGATCAAATCACTGCCTTGCTATTCCAGTGCAGTGGAGGAAACAAAGAGAAAATCTCATAAAGAAACAGAATCATTAACCTACTATTTTTTAATTGTCTGACTTTGTTTTCTCCTTCCCCAAAACATTGAAAGTACAGGATTTCAATTCTTTTGATTTCTAATACTTGCTACTTATAGTAGTTACTACTGTGAGTAATTCATAGTATCTACATATATTATCACAGTTAATACCACACCCATGCAGGCACAGGAGCGTGTCCAAAGAAGGGCAATGAAGATGGTGAAGGGGCTGGAACACAGTCCTTATGAGGAGTGGCTGAGGGAGCTGATGTTATTTAATCTGGAGAAGACGAGGCTCAGGAGGGACCTTATGGCTCTCCACAACTACCTGAAAGGAGGTTGTAGTGAGTCAGAGGCTGATCTCTTCTCCAGAATAACTATGGATAGGTCAAGAGGAAATGGTTTCAAGTTGCACCGGGGAGGCTCAGGTTAGCTATTAGGAAAAATTTCTGTGATGTGGGAAGAGCAGTCAAGCATTGGAACAAGCTACCTAGGGAAGTGATGGAGTCACCTTCTCTGTCAGTTTTCAAGAAACGTGTAGATGAGGTGCTTAAGGAACATGGTTTATCAGGTATAGTGTTGAGGGGCTTATGATTGGACTCCATGAACTCAAAGGTTTTTTATCAACCACAATGATTCTATAATACTATGAAAAAAGTAGGAATTTTTTCCCTATGCTTGTTTTAAAATGTATTTTGAATCTAGCAATGTTCCAGGTTCTGCAAATGTGCCCAAAGAAATAACTGGGTTCATCTAACTAAACTTCAGTCATTGGAAAGTCTGAGGTTGCAGTCCAGGCTCCTTCCCGAAAGGATACAAAGTGATTCATTTCATTCTAAGATAACTGTCTAAAAATGCAATGAGTTGCCTTCTGGAAGTATATATTTCATTCCATGAGTTGGACATGTCCATTAACAAGTTCAAACTAAAATCTAATCTTCACATGATAAAATTTAAATGAGAAAGATTTTGCCTACAGAAACAGAATTATGCAATATTTAACAGAGGAAATGTCCTCAACAGAAAAAAAAACCCACATATCTACAATATGTGAAAACTAAGGTGAATGTTCTACAGTAAAAACTTACAGGTCAATAATCAACTGTTAGTGTATTAACGTACAACAACTCTCATGATATCTCTAATGGAGTGCATTAGTATCCTTTTTCTCTAGGCCTTTCTAAGATTTTTTTCCCCCCAAGATATAAAGATGATTAACTGTTTAGGTAGCTGCAGCATTACAGGCAGGGAGTGCTATTCTCCTTCCTTTGAAGCGGTGAACACGATGAACCTATATAAACAGCAATGTCCTCTTTCTAGGTTTTTTTTTTTTTTTTTTGTTAACAGACTTACAGACTGAATCTCTCTTTAAATGAATAAACGTTAAAAGAATAAAACTGTCAAAAGGATGAATCTCCTTTGCACCAAACTAAAATATATATCCGCACAGTAAAACTCTCTCAAATGAATAACCATTAAAAGAATAAAWGTGTCAAATGAATAAATATCCTCTGCACTGCACCAGACTAGAGTAAATGTAGTCAGAAGAGGACATTTTGAAATGAATAACTGGCAAGTGAAGAAAACCTTAAAAAGAAAACATTTTTCCCAGGTACCAAGGTGGTATATTATTAGCCCCTTCAGAAACATCATTTTTATATCATATTTTGTATTTTTAATTCTGAATTTATTCACTCATAATCTAGGCTTATTGCCATGCAATTAATGTCTTCTCATCTTCAAGTTGTTAATCATTGGCAATGAAACACATGGAGATACRCTTGTGCTGAATATGGAAATATGATGTCCAAACTTGGCTCCAAGTCATGAGGTCTTTATGGCTTGGAGACAAGGCCACTAGGATCTATTCTATTTAATATCTATCAAAACTGAGAAATTTAATGTTATGTCTTCTAAATAAATACGACCCACACTACAGGCAAAGAGCTCTTTACTGCATTAATATGTCTCAATAATAAGATGAAAGAAGGCTACCTTCTAAAAACTGAAACCACTTCTTGCTTAACACTATTCCCTAGCATCACAACAAAAACATACCATATTTAAAGTCAAATGGCAAATGATTATAGATGAGCATATTGTAATCACAAAAATATAGAGATGAAAGGGCTTTCAACACAAAA